TACGTGCGCATGATCATTGATTGTAACAATACAGTCAGACCTCGCTTATCCGGTCCTCTTTTATCCGGATCCCTCACCATCCGGAAGAAAATAGCTGGTTACATATTTACAGCATACGTGATGCATCCAACATAAACTGTGTTCGGTTATCCGGTTCCCTCGCCTATTCGGATATTTTTGTGGAAAACAGATGTGTGCGGTTATGCGAGGTCTGACTGTATACTCCTCACTCCATGTATGTTTTTGCAGGTCGTGGCCCATTTTAGTTCCGTGTATCTGTGCCGTGAGCAAGTATCAGTGTGTTTTGTGCTGACTTCTGTGCTGCAGACACGCTGTTGGACACAGCAAACCACTCGTTGACACGCACAGCCAGGTGATCAATGCCACTGGGCGTCGTGACGGTGTTTACAACGACATCACGTTCTCTCTACCCTGCCACAGCCAGGACACTGATCCAGAGCAAGACATCAGTATTCACGGTCGTCATCATCTGATCTTTGCTATTGGGGACTTGCAAGATGGTGACATTGCATATCACGGTTCCCACCGGGGACCCACACCGTTGGTCACTATCGACTGTAGTGGTTAGTGGTTTGTACTGCCATCCTCAGTGATCATCTGAGTAGTTGTACTGGTCTTATTTAGGGAAAGAGATTATGTTGAGCATTTTTGACTTTTTTTGTTCCTTTATCTTGAATTTGAAAAGCAGATGATTGAGTGAGAAAATGGGTCAACGCAAATGAAGTTTTCTCTGTGTGATCTTCAAACAATCCTCCTGCAGTGCTGGCCGCGGATGTGAAAGACGTTACAAGCTCCCGTGCATCTGTTGAGCTCTCCGCTTCTCCCGGGGACAGTGGTGACTGGACGGTGACTTTGTCTGCTGGTGGAGTAGCGCTGGAGGATCTGACCTTCCCCGCTGACTTCACGGCATTCCCGTTGGAGTTCTTGCAGCCCAATAAGCTGTACGACGTATCCGTGCGTGACAGTTCAGGAAAGTACAGCTTTGGTCCACTGCAATTTGTCACTACTGCCATGGATAATCCCGATGGTGAGTGCTACTGGTTGTCCTGCCACATCATTTTGCTTGGTTTATTCTTATACTGTACAATGCTATCTTGTGTCCGACTAGACTCCTACGAACATACACCCAGTATTTAGTGTTCTGCCCCAGTTGGCTTATATCTACGCAGTGTTGCGTTCAATTGGCAGTAGCTTTCCAGAATTTTCATGCTTTTCAGTCATGTGTCCACTTGATGAACCCATTTCCCACTGATAACCATCCGACATATAAAGAATTTGGATGTCATTTCTGAAAGTGCGAAGAATCCCCTGTAGCCATCCACTGTACATGATCCACTTATCTCAGTCTAGTATTACATGGACCACACCTGCAATGAACTATTGTGTTCACATTCATATGCATGTATGTGCAGCAATGGGTCAATGTGGAGTTTCTTGATTTGATTTGTCTTTCTTTACCAGGCATGTTCAACAACTCGGATATGACAGCCATGTGGAAGGTGTCAGCATCTGACGGCATTGTCCAGTTTGTCTTGTCGACGTCAACCGTTCCCACACCATGGCTTGGTGTTGGAATATCGCGATCCGGTGGAATGGTCAGTGTCGTTTTTGCAGTCGTGATGAATGGAAAAAGTTGTGAACCGCACTCTAGAAAACTGTGAATGGATTCCTAGCTTTGTTGTTTGATGGGTAATATAATATTGTAGAGTATGCAGTATAGGATACTTCCTCCGCGTCATTAAAATTGTCTCTTCCCAGAGCGATTTTTCGAATTTATTTTAACCACTCGAAGGGCAAAGAGATCAGCTAGAAATTGAGGCAGAGCATTGTCGACGAACCAAGCTTTAGTTTGTGGCCTCCCGGTTCGCTGCACTTGCAGCTAAGGTCGACGTCTTCATCAGAGTTTGGGGCAGGACCTTCAGCACTCAACAATGTGCTGAACAAGACGCGAGTTCAAATTCAGGTAAAGGAACTTCGTTTTCAAGCGATCCATACCTCCATGTGGCAGGCGATGAAGGAAAGCTAGCATTTTTCAAGTACACTGTAACGACTTTCCAGCGGGATAGGGTAAGTAGTTCCGCACCTTCTTTCCTTGGCAAGCGTTTGGCTAATTTTGTTGGTGTTTTCAGACCTGCTACCTTCATAGCAACATGCGCCACAAGTAGCACATTTTAGGAATTTGAGAACATTTTGTTCTTGCCATCGTCAACTTCAGCATTTCGTATTCAGGAGAGATACCAGGATTCTTATACCCGAGCTCGCAGTCTTGATAAATACCCACGCGAACGATATGGGACGGCACGAACTCCAGAAAAACGATACGCGCTCTGGGGCGGAAGAGTGCGGAGCGCGATGAATTTGCTTGGTGCGGAAGAGAGCTCCGACAAAGTCCGAGACCACCACGGCTTCAGTAACAAGTAGACATTGCGCAGGAAGGGTCGCACCAATGCTCGAACACAGAAAACAGGGATTCCGACAGTCCGACTAAGACGAGCCAAGTCACAAACATTTCGATGTACGCAGCGGCAATTTTAATGACGCGGAGGAAGTATGTTTGAGGATAATTATGCTCACTTGCATATGCATGTTGTTGATATCTTTGTCTTTGCTTCTTCAGTCAAACAGTGATATCATTACTGGCTACATCGATGATCATGGCACCGCAGCTCTTCAGGACAGGTATGTTGTTTGTTGATGTGCAGTCTACTTTGACTGTACAGCTATAAGTATGGAAACTAGACACGAATGACATGAAGTGGGCATCAACACAATACAGTCACCAGATCACGCACTTGAACACGTGAATGGTCAGTGCTGCACTGAATTCTCCTTTGCACGATAGCATTCAGTTCACGACTTGCCAGATTGGGCTCTCATTGCTTTTGTGGTGTTCTTTGTACACACAGATTTGCAGCTGGACGTATCAGGCCCCAAATTGACCAACAGTCACAAGTCAGCCAAGCACGTGGCATCGTACACGAGTCCACGACCACTATCAGCTTTGCCCTGCCCTGCAATAGCAATGACATGCAGGATGTCCCACTTGTTGGACAGCATACTTTCATCTTTGCTGTCGGCTCAAGGACCGCTCAAGCAGATCCAATCACGTATCATGCTAGTAGGAGGTTTATCAGCAGTGAAATGATTAGCATCGACTGTGGAGAGGACGGTGAGGAACTTGTTTTGCAATGTGTGCTGTTGGAAATATAATCTTTTCTTTCTGAGAGAAAGGGGAAGATAATAATCAAATTGTTTGTCTGAATGTTTCCTTTTCTGAGTCTATTCATGATCAGACATGTTCAATACTTGATCAGATGTGCTAGCCTGTCAGTTCTTTTCTGACGGCAGTTCTTCTGTGGCGGCAGTTCTGCCGAACACACAGACACTCACGCACGCGCACACACACACAAACACACACACACGCGCGCACACACACACACACACACACACAAACACACACACACGTGCACACACACACACAAACACACACACACACACACACACACACACACACACACACACACACGCACACACACACACACACACACACATGATGTATGATTTTAATTTTGTAGTGTGCCTGAATGTGACTTTCTGGTTCCTGATGTTCTGCATTCTCTTGTCGACGGTACTGGCTTTTCAAGTGCCGGAGTAACAGTATGTGAAACTGTGCTGTTCTATTGAGCTACTACTGACCACTGCCTATGATCTGTCACACTTGTGTAGTACCATCGGACCAACGGCCACCATTGATGACAACGAACACCAGTAAGCACACTTTAACTCTTCACTGCCAGCACTTGCATAATTATATGATTCATTTGTGTATAGAATGTCAGAATGTAATGTTTAATTCCTATGGGCATGTCTGTGCACGCTCATACACTGCACAGTTACCTCATTGCTGGCAAGTAGCCAGGTGTGACATCTAAGGAAATGGCATTTGCGATTGGAACACGAGTCGGTGTGGGTTTCGCAGTAACACTTGCAGGCTACCCAGTCCAGTTGTCCCTGTGGCAGGGTACATTATTGAATACTCGCATTTGACATGGCTGGCCTGGGCCGCTTTTGAATTCAGTAGGTCGTGACCGCGATTGCGATCACGTAGCACTTGCGAGTCTAGTGTCACTATGCGCATCATTTGGGGTGCTATGGTCTTTAGTCGTTCTCCTTGTGCTACAACTCCTTTCTCCCTTCTGGGAATATACATGTAGGACTCAGTATAGAGTCCATGCACTATATGATGTCCAGCACCCTATATAGAGTCCATTGGTCCAAAATCCACTATACAGAGTCCAGGAGTCCACTCAGTTTTGATCAGCTTCATCCTGCCGCGCAATCCCCTATAAGGAGTACACTTTTTCTACAAGTCCCCTATTCACGGTCCAGGAGTCCAGTTTATCCAGTCACGCCGTCCTGTGTGTTGTGCCCCGAAAGAGAACACATTTTTAAAAAAATTTCAGTTTTGCTTGCCTCGTGGCAGCGCATTCCTTTCTTCACTTCAGCCGGCCCATGGCTGCCAATTCTGCTGTGCAGTTGCTGACAGTAATCTGTCTCGAGCTAACCAAGGAGGATAAGGAGACGTTCAAAATCAAATCTGGAAAGCGTCTTGTGGTTCTCTGAAGACGTTTCATCAGTGCGCGGGATGAAAGCAGAAATTGCAGAACGAGAAAAGTTCAGCACAGTTCAAATCTGACGAGTCAGGTACACTGACGCTCTCTTTCGTTCGACGCCACAAGGATCCCCTGTTTGGCTGGCCATTGCTGCCAGTAAGACGTTTGAACGGTTTCATCAGAGCGAGGGATGAAAGCAGAAAGCGGAGAAAGAGAAAAGTTCAGCACAGTTGCAATCTGACGAGTCAGATACACTGACACTCTCTTTCGTTCGACGCCACAAGGATATCCCTGTTTGACTGGACAAGAGCTGCCTGTACCACCGTGTCAAAAGGCTGTCCAACTACATGGCAGGACGATGACTGAGGTAAGGAAGCTTTTACTCGTTTCGATTGGTCTGCTGTTCTGTCGTTATGCTTGAATTTTTTTCCATTTTCAAGGAGCGTATCGCGTTTGTTTGATGTTGCTTGAATGAATGCCCTAAAAGTAATCAACCACTTCGTAATAGTCCTCAAGGACTGCAAGGACTTTGCATCAATCGTATATGATCGTCTAGCTATCATCAATTTTTATTTCATGAGAAATGTATTTTTATCCCTGTGATAATTATGTGAACTCCACGACAGTCGACACTCTTCCTGTAGTATGATGTCGAATACAATGGGATCCACAAACGCAGTGCCAGTGTACTAGTAGTAGTAGGACTAGGAGGATTGCTTGTATGCCAATGACAAGAAAAATCTTCTCAAGCTAATACTCGTATTCCCTGAAGTAACCGTTTTGATGTCACGAACATGACATTGTGTCAGTGAAACTGCCTCGTGACAACAAATCATTGCATTTCCATCTTGGGGAAGACTGACTGACAGCAACGCTGTACAGATTGTTCAAATCATCTCATTTCAATTTAGCTGCAGTGAAGTGAAACACTGTGTACACTACATGTATGTTGGTGTGTCTGTGCGTCTTGAGTGTGCACAAACGATCTTATTCCTCGTATTACTAATAGATTATTGTACCCACCATCACCTGTTCACAGGTCTTTGAGTGGATTGATTTTCATTGAGCATCACATTCGTTGAGAACTTGGTAGTTGTGTGCTCCCATGCATCATTACGGTAATAAGCGTATCCTTGTGCTATCTATTTGTTGCAGGTGTGCTGATCTTCAGAAGCTTGCGGAACTGAGTGCTGCTGAACATTTGCATGGCCATGAGCAATGGTGAAGCTTGCTATTGCACTCTCAGCATGTGCTAGTATTATGCTGACCACTGCACTATGTTACTCTCTTACACTACTACGTGTATGTAAACGTGCGTGTACCCGTCCCCGTACGCATTCGTTTCGTATAATTATTTGTTATCCCTCTTGACTTTACATGTAAATGGGTGGACGTTTGCATGGCTGTTGGAGTTGCGTGTGTATTGTGTCTCTACTCTTTTCTTGGTGTTTTCTTGGCGTTGTATAAGTGTGTGTGTGTGTGTGCGAGCGCGCACAATAATTTGAAAACAAATAATTAATCCTGGGCTCTCCATTATTCTCTTTCGATTCTTGGTTTTTTTCTAGGTATTTTCTTGGCGTTGTGTGGGTGTGTGCATGTGTGTGTGCGTGCACAATAATTTGGCAACACTACATGATTGAGATATTGTAATTTGCAGCGTCTGCGAAGAGACCACTTGATTTGAGGATGGTGTTTGTAGGGTTTTTCATGTAATGACGTGGCTGCAGTGGCGCCTCAATACATATTTTTTATCTTGAGAAGTGAATGATGTAACGGATTAAAGGGAGAGGCCGTTTTCTGGTTAATATTCACTGCTTACAGCAGATCCTATGTCTATTTTCGAACTCGATAGGGGATGCGTAATTGGCTGGACTTTATACAGGGGGTGTTGTCCACATAAAGACTCTTTATAGTTGATTTCAAAGTTTGGACTCCGTACAGTTGATTTTGGACCAATGGACTCTATATAGGGGTGAAGCCAATTGGCTGGACTCTATACAGGGAGTGATGTCCATCGAAACTTTGAGCTCACAGTTGATTCCAAGTTTGGACTCTGTACAGTGGATTTTGGACCAATGGACTCTATATAGGGGTTGGACATCATATAGGGGCTGGACGCTCTACTGAGTCCAACATACATGTAGATTGTGCACAGTTTTTTAGGTTTCTGTTGTCCTTTAGTGAGCCTTGACCGCTTGATATCTATCTTCTTCAATCCTCTTTATCGGCGTATTTGTTTGCATGTCTTACTGTTCACGCTAATCTGCGCTTTTATCTTTCAATGTCTGCACATGTCAGTCCATTTGGCTAGATGACTACTTCATTATGAATTTCAATTCACAAACAGCAACAGTGCAACCAAATCCTTCCTTGTCATTACTCAGAGTTTCGTGTCAACAAAAATAAACACTCTTCAGATGGCATGTCGCTGTTTGTGAATTGTATCACTGGCTCTGTCCACTGGACATAGAGCAGTATCCGTAGCCTGTGTATCATAGACACCTGTCCTTGTGAATTTCTGTGTACTGACATGTTCTCATTCGTGATTTGCGTTCTCCCGCAGCCGGTCACTTCCGCTCCCCATCATCCAGTGTTCAGTGGATGGTGAACCCAGCTGAGCAAGTAGTCAAGTTCAACGTGCGCAGCAAACTGGGCGACTGGATCGGTGTGGGCATTGCTGATCAAGCCAGGATGGTACGCAATGTACTGTAGAGGCATTGAGGCACCGCATTGAGTTGTGTTTATCTAGGGTATATAATTGTATTAGCCTCTGACCTGCCTTGTATGCTACTTTAGTCTCTGCATGGAGGAATAGCTATTGTTTTTTGGGTTATTGTAGTAACACATTGATGTCATGTAACATGCATGTCACTATTTATAACAACTATTTTGTGTCAATGCATTTGAGATAACTGGGCAGGGAAAGTGGGGGGGGGGGTATACTTCCTTCGTTAGTGCCTGATACACTGTAGCACAGCTGACCAACACGGACACTAATATGTATGTCACACTAACCCGTTGCTTAACAGTTCTATCCTATAACTAGGCTACAAGCGACCATATCTATTCTCCGTGTGTGTGTGTGTGTGTGTGTGTGTGTGTGCGTGTGTGTGTGTGTGTGTTCTTGTTTCCTGTGTCCAGTATCCCGCTGACATCATCACTGTCTATCTCTCCACAGACGGTGTCCAAGTTCAGGACAGGTATGTATGCATGCTGTGTCAGTGTGTTCTGTTGTGTCTTCACTTGTCCACAAACTCCATGCTACTATGCGTTTGGGTACGTTGGCTGTGCATGTTTGTGTGCGTGCGTGTGTGTGAGCGTGCGTGCGTGCGAGCGTGCGTGCGTGCGTGCGTGCGTGCGTGCGTGTGTGTGTGTGTGTGTGTGTGTGTGTGATCATTGATATTAACAAATTGCTCCTTGCCGAAGGTATGTCTTCGCAGGTCGTGGCCCATTTTAATTCAGTGTATTTGTATTTTGTGCCGTGAACAAGCATCTGTACGTTTGTTTCCGGCTGTGATACAGACACGCTGTTGGACACAGCAAACCACTCGTTGACACGCACAGCCAGGTGATCAATGCCACTGGCCGTCGTGACGGTGTATACAACGACATCACGTTCTCTCTACCCTGCCACAGCCAGGCCACTGACGCAGAGCAGGACATCAGTATTCACGGTCGTCATCATCTGATCTTTGCTATTGGGGACTTGCAAGATGGTGACATTGCATATCACGGTTCCCACCGGGGACCCACACCGCTGGTCACTATCGACTGTAGTGGTTAGTGATTGTACTACCATCCATCACTATGGTTGTGTGCAATAGGCAACATGTGTGATGTCATTATGATGTCATTTGTACACTTTTCTGGGAAAACCAAGGAGAAGGGAGAGAGGGAGAGGAGAGAGAGAGAGAGAGAGAGAGAGAGAGAGTGTGTGTGTGTGTGTGTGTGTGTGTGTGTGTGTGTGTGTGTGTGTGTGTGTGTGTGTGTGTGTGTGTGTGTGTGTGTGTGTGTGAGAGAGAGAGAGAGAGAGAGAGAGAGAGAGAGAGAGAGAGAGAGAGAGAGAGAGAGAGAGAGAGAGAGAGAGAGAGAGAGAGAGAGGGAGGGAGGGAGGGAGGGAGGGAGGGAGGGAGGGAGGGAGGGAGGGAGGAGGGAGGGAGGGAGGGAGGGAGTGGGGAGGAGGAAGGAGAGAGGAGAGAGAGAGAGAGAGAGAGAGAGAGAGAGAGAGAGAGAGAGAGAAGGAGAGAGAGAGAGCGTTGCAGGTCTAAAACAGCACACATACCCATTCTGTCCTACTGGTGTGTACACATTTCCTCATTGCGACTGAGGCTCATTTGTGTGCATGGTTTGTTCGTCTGACTACACAGGGCTTTGCAGAAAGCTGCACTAAGCCCATTGGCCATTGGCCATTGCCCATTGGCCCTGCGTATGTGACCAAGAATTCAGATTGACAATGTAACTACACACTCATTTCCACTTGACTGTTCTTGTGTTGTGTTGTTGTTTGTCCACAGACCCACCTACGCCTCATCCTACCACCATGCCACCTGCAACGACCACTGCACAGGGTAGGTTTTGCGTGGTCTTTATGACATATGCTTGGCTTTATTGATCATTATATATTCAAGATTGTTATGTCTCAATAAAGGCTTGTGCCACCCTCAACTGTTTCTATGATACGATGGTTCGGACACATTATTTTCTATCTCAAACCCTGCTGGCTTAGGTTTTTATTGCTTGGTTTTTAGAAATCCTCAAAATCACTTCCCAAATGTGGAAAATTGATGGTGATATGAAATGGATTCATGTTCCTGCTGCTCATGGAAGAGATTTACAGGCTTTTCAGTTAATTTTCAGCCTTCATGTTGTTTATGCCGCTTGTACTACTGCTGCTGCTGCTGCTGCTGCTGCTGTTACTGTTGTGTCTATTGTTGCTGTTGTTGCAGTGGGATGTAGAAGTCATGAGTTCACTTGCAATGATGGACGGTGCATCAACAGTGCCTTCACTTGTGACAGAGCCAATGACTGCGATGACTGGTCTGATGAGTTGCTAGAGAAGTGCTGGGCACGTGAGTAGTACATATAGTGTATGTGTGTGTTGTATGTGTATGTGTGTAGGGGAAGGAGGGGGGGGGGGGGGGCTTAGTACAATAGACAGGTGTTGACAGTGCTTTCTCTGCACCACCCCTATGTGGGTCTATATCCGATGCATGAAAATTAACAGCCCTATCTGCCAACTTTCATTATGAAAGAGTCAACATTACTTCATGGAGTGAAAGGACAGTAAAACGACAATGTGTGAAAAATAAGTGAAGAACATGAATGAGGAAGTTAGGTTTTTTTTGGAAGAGCAATCTACAAAAATGTTCATAACCGCTTTTCGCTGCAATATTTGTATTTGGTTCGGAACCCCACACCATCTTCTGTAAGCTTCAAAATGATGCTCTTAAAAATGTATTGGGGATAGAGCAATGGCGCGATGCAGTTTCTCTGTGTGCAACGAAACAGTATTTATCTACAGTTTTGACCTATGAATGCATAGATAGTTCTCTTGGAGGCAGAACATGAAATGATACTTACGGGGAAAACAAAATTCGGGCTCCTCACGAACATCATTTTCAAACGCATACTCTTAATTAATGTCTTCTCGTCATGTTGTGCATTGTTCTTGTTCAATTTGTGTTTGCCTGTTCTCCACGGTGGCATTAAAAAATAATGCTTGTGGATTTCTCAAGCACAAGTACATAAGATTGTGCACTGTGCACTGGTGTGCCCCTGTGTGTGCTGTACAGCTGCGTGTAGCAACACCACCTTTCCGTGTCTGGAGATCTCGGGCTTTCACACGTGCATACCGCTGACCTGGGTGTGCGATGAGGTGGCAGAGTGTGCCGCTGATGCAGACGAGAGAAACTGTAGTAAGTCAAAGTGGACCCTCTGTTTGTTGCGCTGTACTGAATCTAACTCGGATGAAATAAACAGAAGAACGTCAGATGAAATACATGTATGCGTTGTGTAGTGGCAGCAAATGAAATCCGAACCCCGGCTCAGGCTCAGCGTGCTAGCGCTGTACAAACACAGCACACAGTCACGCTAACCTCAGGATATGTACAGTGCATGAGCGCATGCATGAAGATCATGTTATACACGATGCGTATGTCCTACGTGCCATTGGCATACACACTGGCTTCCTGGCGCTGTGCTCGCTGTACTTGTACGCATGCATGCATTGTATACCTGTGCACATGCATGCATTGTATACCTGTGCGCATGCATGCACTGTATACCTGTGCGCATGCATGCATTGTATACCTGTGCGCATGCATGCATTGTATACCTGTGCGCATGCATGCATTGCATCTTCAGATTACTTTAGGGATCTACCAGGTCAATAGACTCAATGCCAAACAAATATTCTTCACACATTTGGGACTTGTGGCACGAGCATGCGCAGCACTCGCTAGCTTTCAGCGTGCCCCTGCAGTTGCTCTGGATCTCGTAAATACAGGAGTTGGATTTCATCCGCATCCGCTGTAGTTTTGCGCTCATCTGACACAAAACTTGTGTTTTGCGTATTTACGTTTGGTACACGTACTGCACGGTGTGTTGCTGCTGCCATATGTGTGCTGTTCTTGTAGAGCTCATAGCGTGCATGTGGTTTGTACTTGGCACTTTTCAATCTAAATATGTGCTATGTGAAGTTCATCCACCGTCCGTAGAGAAAAATGAAAAACTACTGCTCGTTCTTCTGTCTGTGTAAAGATGCTACTGTGTTTCATCATGTTCTCTATGTGCACCTGCTGGTACCTGGTACTAGACTACGGATTGAGCTGGACGTTTCTCTTTTTGTTTGCTTTTTCAGCTGCAACCAGCCCCCCTACACCTGCCCCGACCACCTCACCGGCGCCAACTACCTCACCGACTACATCTGTTGGTGAGTAACTTGGCTTTACGTGTTGTGTGTCAATGGTGGTGGTGATGTGATGGTTATGTGTATTGGGGGGAGGATGAGGGAAGCTGTCGGATGGATGCATTACTATACAGTCAAACTCGTGAATACCTCGGGTATAACGACAATATGCCAATAAGGACACCATCTTCAGATCTCGTGACCACTTCACTGCATTCTGTCAACCTCGCGAATAGCGGCTCTTCTCATGCACCATCGAGGGTCATTATTCGCTAGGTTGACTGTTGCCTGTGCAGTGCAGTGGGACATGTCTGAAGCGGTGTGTTGTCTGTGCAGTGCAGTGGGACATGTCTGAAGCGGTGTGTTGCCTGTGCAGTGCAGTGGGACATGTCTGAAGCGGTGTGTTGCCTGTGCAGGTAGTTTACATGTAACTATGATTGTGGGCTTCTAATGAGTACAGAGTAATAGTCATTCATCAAGATTGCTAGGTGAAGCACAGTCAGCGTTTTACCAGGCTTTTCTGTTGCAACATTGTGCAAGAGCTCTTGTAGACTAATGGGCTATAAGCGTATACAATAGAGATCATATGCTTGTTTGCGTAATGTGTCGTCTCTGCATGTTGCTGAGGTGTAGTATGTGCTTAGCTTCCCCTCTCTGGTCTTTCCTGAACCATTCCGAGTTGGAAGGCTATTGGTTTGCGCATTGGGGATGTGTTTAAGTTGGGTGTCAGGTTGTTGAATGTCTCAGTAATCTGTCAGACTGGCGCTTAGCTGTGGCATGTTCTGACAGGTTATCTACAACACTGTAGTTACAGTGGCGGACAGTCATAACTCGTGTAATGTGTCCCTTTCCCCCTTTACATTTACTATTGGCTCCAGGGATGCATTTATCCTGTATCGCATCGCAGTTTGCGATGCAAAATCGATCTACTGCTACTCAAAAGTCACCGTGACTCGCAGAAAACTGCGATACATACAGACTATCCATGCCTAGCCTGTGCTGTCAAGTAATATGCATACAGTGCAGTGTATATGTGGTGCAGGCACTTTCAATCTGCGACTTCTGCGTGCACATGTATGATTCAGTGGGTTTTTTTGGCAAATGGGCTTTCAGGCATCACTCTCAAGAAGGACAATGTGGTAAACACCCAACCTTCAAAGAAAAATGCTAATCAAAATCAAAGACTGCTACACATTTATTGTGATTTTGTATAGCAGAAACTGCTATGCAAAAATATGACAATAAATTCATCCCTGGGCTCAGTATCTTAATTCCTTAACACTCTCCAACTCCACTGCAGCGTTATCTTTTCCACTTGTTAACACCTCCATTCCCCGAACAGACTCTCAGCTGCACAAAGAGAATAAAGTGCTAGCAATATGTTCAAGAGCCTGAAGTGTGTCCTACTTCTAATTATAAAATGCTACCAATATTTTGCCCATTGGGCATCATCAGGGCAACGCTGGTGTTTGTGCAGCTGAGAGTCTGTTCCGGGAAAGGAGGTGTTTACAGGTATCCTAATTGCCATTATTATTATTATTTGCTTTCATTGTATCAGCTGCAGCAGCAAGTATTTATCCTAGTCAGATCACGGTTGAGCATGCCGAGGTGTCCAGTGGAAAATCCGTGACAATGACCTGCACCGAGAACACTGGCGACATCTTCCCGTTCGTAACCTGGCAACGCCTGGATGGCCTAGCCCTGCCGCTCAGCCGCGTGTTCTACACCGGAATATTCATGGAGACTATCACCATACGCAATGTGTCGGCTGCCGACGCAGGCACCTATCTGTGTGATGTGGAGCTCTCCAGTGGGGAACTCCTGTATACGCAGGCCAATATTACAGTTGGTAAGTTTGTAACCATAAGACGCTTGACGCCAGTGACGGTTACTGTTATACCTGAGTAGTCAGTGGACATGAGATCAACTAGGAATATTATGACGGGCAGACCTACTCAGACCCATACCATTCAACTTGTATTCAACAGGTGTACCCCTTGAAATAGGCTAACCCTACCCTATCATTGCTGTACGAGTACGCTAAGCAAAGTCCAGGTCGTTGTCAAGACGTTTGTATTTTGTGCATGTTTTTTTCCGTTGCAGCCCAACCTCCACCCGTAGGCGATTGTCCAAAGCAACGGTTTGCGCCGCAACGCGCCAATGAAGTGTTCAATGCCGACTGGTGTGTCAACTCCATTACCCAGCGGGTTCACTTCACTCTCCGCTCCACGGTTCGCAACGGTTGGGTTGGTCTTGGCATCTCTCATGACGACAACATGGTAATGACTGTCTATTATCTCGTTACGTTGGTGGACTGTTAGTCATAACTAGTAACTTATAGGTACTTTTCTCTTTACATATTACTACTGTAAAAGCCATATATATAACGAAGTGCTAACTCTAACGAGTTAACGAGGAGAAATCTGTCGTTAAAATAGAATCGTTATACAGAAATCGATACATATACTGTCCTATTGAGCGCTGAGAATGAGTGAGAATCATTACTTTTGGTACACGTAAAACTGGTCAATTTTGGGAAATGGTTATATATGCGCCAGAGTTAGAATAATGGCTTTTACAGTATTAGCTCAACGTCCGAGTTTTATTGCTTGCTGTGTTCGCTGAGGTATTCTCGTATCCCACTGGTGTACAGTCGCACCAACTGTTCAAAAATAATTTCATTGGCGAGATTGAGAACTTGCTGCCTTTTCTCTCCAGAATCGGTGGAATTGGATTCCGTGGATTCTGACGGTGCAATGTGTAAAATCGAATAATGCATGTCTCCTACTTGTGGTATCTTCTGGAATGTACGAAAGTGTGTGTAATCAAACGTGCCCAGTACAAGCCAGCCCAGTGTAAAAACTAGGCTGCTAATAATAATCATGTACTTGCATCCTACTTTATTGGTGTTATCTAGCAATGGCCGCTGCACTGTAAAATCCACATTGCTTTCTTCAACGTACATTTCCCTCTCCCTATCAGGTTGGTAGTGACATTATCACGGGGAGAATTCAAGGCTCGGCCGCCTTGGTGGAGGATCGGTTTGCCGACGCACATGCCCAGCCCGAACTGGACCAAGACAGCCAGGTGGAGGACATGGCTGGTATCATGAATAACGGCTGGATGGAGATTTCCTTCTCGCTGCCGTGTGAGAGTGAAGATGGCCGTGACATTGCTCTGCGTGGCAGCCATTACCTTCTGTTTGCCACTGGCGTATTGAAGGACGGTGGTATATATTACCATGATGTCCCGCAGCGCTGGGCAACTGAACAGCCTATCACCATAACATGCAGACCGGCAACACTAATGGAGCCGACAGCTGTGGATGCTGTGAACTCAACAGTCACCACAATGAGCCCGACTGGTGATCCCATGCTAACACCTGTGTCAACACCATCTTTGCAAACACCTGTACCAGCACCTGGTATGGATGATGTGCGCAATGTGTTGTCCTTCTAG